GATGAAAAGGTCGTACGTATTCTACCGACTGCACAGACGTGCCTGCCGCGTACATAACTGTATGAATTCTCCTGTCCGTGAAAGTAGCGTATTTACGAGCACTTTATATCTATGGAAATGCGCGGCGAAAATCTACACAAGTGTCGTATTTATGGGGGGGTCGACGTGTGCACGTGCCACCTATAGAAGCTTTACATCTGTCGAATTACATGTACACCTACACACACGGACACAGGTGCATCCAGGAAATGCGAAGTTGCTCGCGTGATCTAAAGTGGCGTTAGAAAATTGAAAAATTGTTTATATATTTCCGAATAAAGCTTGGCTATTTTTCACGATAACACCGATCGATGGAATCGTCTCACTTGATACGAGCAAATATCGTCGAATTGCAGAGAAGGAGAAAGATCATTTTTCCATGCGAGAGAGAGAGCAAACAAAACTTCGACAGAGATTTTTTTTTAATTTTCGTCAACCTTCTGCATTTTTCTTCAATAGGAACAGCGATAAAAATCACGAGTGTGTTGGCCGATAAAACAATTCACTCGCGACACATGCTCGCCGCTGCGAGGGAAAAGAAATCGCAGAGAAACCCCGGTTCCGGCATTATTCCGAAAAAATGAACCTCCCTCGAGCGAATGACACAAACGAGCCTAGCCTGAGTAATCGTAAAAAAAAGTAACCGGATAAAGGGCCTTCGTGGCTTATCTTCCAACGTGGAAGGAGTTTTTTTTCTCCCATCCACCTTTTCACTTTTTACCACCGATGTAAAGCCGGGGCGAGCGACGCTCGAGCACCGGAATCTCCCTGAACTTTCCATTTCGTTCGTAGAAAACCGGAGACGCTTGCTGCCTGTGGCGTTACACGGTTTTACTGTCGTCCTGCCTCTCCCGAGGATTTTACTGGCCCTGTCGCTCGCGAGATTTACATTATACACGGCTCGTGCAACCCTTCCCCCCACCCTCGTTCCGCCACCCTTTGCCGACCGATTAAGCGGCACATGTAACGCTCCGTTGTGCGTAAAGTCCGAGGAAGGTAATGAAAACGCTGGTTATACCGGCGTAGATAAAGAGTCAAAGGTCCCAAGGGACACTTTGTTGGATAATTAACTACCGAACTTCACCTCGTCGAATATTTCCCTCGAACCCTATTCGTCAAAACTGTCCCCTTCCTGTCGTTCCTGCCGTTCGAATTTTTCGGAGGAAACGCACTCGCGTGATAAATACCACTCCCCCGAATTTTTAAGGAAGAATATTGACTTTTCGAGTTCCAACGGGAGACCATTCTTACTCGAAATAGAAGTAAAAGCGGTCACACGAAACTCAGGCTGCGGAAAAGTTCGTGCTTTCCCGACTAAGAGAAAATTTGAGCCTGATTCTACAAGGGTCCATTGTAGATTCGCACGGAAGCCAGAAGTTCGACGATTAATTCAAACTGCGAGCAGACTTTCTACCGTCTAGCAAAATCATCGCGTGAAATTTCGATGGTAACGAAGTAGATGCTCCCAGAGATGCTCGGTGCCCTCTCGAATTAGGGGCATATGAAATTAAGCGGTGCGCTAAAAGCACTCGGTGCTGTTCTAATTGAAGAACAGAGCGTAGATCCGTAGGTAGAAATAAGATGCGAGTCGAGAGGTGATTAAGACGTGAAGCAACCGTTGGGACTTCGGTCAAGACTTAAATACACGTTATATCGCCTCTACGCTTCGAACTTGAACTCCTGGGAAGTTTCTGTTAAAGCCTGACGTGGTGTCGATACTGTTATTTATTAAAGCGTGTCGCGAAAACCAGGTCTCCACGGTTCCATGGTCGCATAAAGCCGGGGAATTGGGAGGGAAGGGCGCGACGTTAACGGAGGAAATGGAAGTTTTCTGGCGGAGATAAATTCGCCGCTATCTTAACGACATCTCGGCCCGATCAAGAAACTCGCTCGTTACGAATTAAAGGCACGATCGGGACTTTTAATAGATTCGACCGTTCGCTCCGCCCCCTTAAAATAATTACCACAGTGGGAAGATTGAAACGGGAATCGCCTTGGGGGAAATTAATTGGCCAAATTGTCGGTAGAATAGGAACGAACGGGGGAAAAAGTTATTCTTTTTAATTGCACACCGATACGAGAGCGAAATTACCACGGCCTGCAATTTAACCCTTTACGTCCCAAATTATTATTCCCCCCCTGTCGATTAAAATCGCAACTACATTTAGACAGTTTCTCCTTTTTCTTCGCATCTACGTACATACACCGACGTAATGATGGCGAAACTAAGAAACAAGTGGTATACATGTATATATCGAGACAATAAAGCGGTCGGAAACGGTTAAACGAAGTAATTAAGTAAACGGAGGGAGTATAGTTGAAGTTGCGAAAGTTGGGTGAATTTTATCTGAGGTTAAGACGACAAACTGAGGCAATATAGTTCGCTACCCTTTTGTTTGAATAAATCTACCCTCATATTCCACGCAGAGGTAAATGTTTCGAGCAGAAACAATTAAGTACCTACCGCTCCAACTTTATAATCGACTCGGAACACGTTGCATCGATTTTCCTTCTCGTTCGCGGAAACGGTTAAGACCGTGAGAAAAACGAGTTGCAGCGGGAAAGGCTAAAATTGAATATAAGACGAGGCAAACAGCCGGTGTTGCTCGTAAATAACACAGCGGGAACTGGCCTTCTTTTCCGACAGTTTCGCGTGAAATTTCTCTCAAACGGATGTAACGCGGAAGTAGTCGCGTGGTTGGGCGACAACCTCGTGAAAACCTCCTCTCTCGTGTCTCGTGTAACGCTTTAATAACGAAATTCCATCCGGTCGATTTGAAGCTATCGTTGTTGTACGCGCGGCCAGGCAAGCTTGCTCGGTTATAAAAATAACGTTTAGCCAGGGAAGTATAGCGACGCTGTTCTGTACACGGGGAACACAAGTCGTGAGAAGCATTTTAGAATTGAGTTACTCCGGCCATTGCGGCGCAATGAAGCATCCCGCGGAGCGAATTTGCCCCGAGCTTGCGCCAGCTTTGCCACGCTTTTGCCCGATTCCCGTCGTTTCGTAGGTTGCAGAAAAGGGCCCCTGCAACCGTGATACCAGATCAATTCCTCCACGACCGGTTTTCGCGTTGTCGAGAGATTTTCCGGCCGTTGAATGCGAGTTAGCAAAAACCAGGGGCCTCGTAAATTTCTCTTCTCTCGCCTGCTGGTAAAAAGGACGGAACGAAGGAAAAAGATCTTCGTCCAGCGTAGCCAATCTTTTCTCTTTCACAAAATAGAAGCATTTTTTTGTCGGGTATTTAACAGAACGGTAAAAGTGGATAGAACACGCGTCTGTCCACGAACAGACTGTAACTACTGTGCGCGAGGCGAAAGATACACGGAGGAGGCAAGAGGATGATCGCGTTTCCTCGAATTGACCGATATTAAGAGCATTGTTTGCTCGAAACTAGAGGGACTTAGATTTAATTGAGACGGACATTTCAATATTTACCTCGATTCGGAGGAGGTGAAATTCCGGCAAAATTTCCATCGTATCGATTCGTACGTTCGCAACTCGGATTTCACCCTCTGACAAGATTGACAGCCTATAGATTGAGATTTGATCGATGACCTTCAGGGATAGTAATAACTGCACCGGCCAATGTTTGCCCATGGGAGTTCTAGGATGGCGCTAGTTATAGGTTGCTCGGTAGTAGAACCGCGGGTGGGAACAGAAAGAGCAACCTAATTCCCGGGCCGAGCCACAGTTCGCTCTCCGAGCAGGAGAATAAAAAGTTCTTTTAATCCACGGAGGTCTGGAACGGGGGGTGGAACAGAGGGAGGGGGAAGAAGAACAAAGAACGTCCTCTATTATGAATGAGGAAAAACCGAAGATCGTCGGTGGAACACGGTGTAAGCGGTATTGATTGCGCGAAATTAAATTTCATCGGGATGAAACGTCCCCTCCTTTCCTTTCGTCGTTACCTGTATTTTATCGTGCCGTGGCTGGACGCGGCGAAGAATTCCAGACTCGTGTCGAGATCGGGGAATAAATCACGGCGGAAAGTACGGAGAGGAAAATCTAAATCCGAGCCACGCGTGTGATCAGATCACCAGGTGTGATTTATTAAAAGACACCCCTGTCTTTCTCTTCCTCTCTCTCTCTCTCTCTTCCATTATTTCTACTATTGCCGGACCACCGTCCCGTAAACTATTAAGCACATGGTGTTCCCCTAATCTAAACCACCATAAAACGCGAACGATCTAATTCCGGTAGAGGTCCAGCCCCGGTTTTATTGCGAGACACCGTCGTAAAAGTTTACGTTTCAACAGGGGACGGCCAACTTCCCTTTTAGCGGTTTCGATCGTGCTTCCTTGGCCGTGTTTAATTACGTCGATTAAAGGGGGTGATATTCAACTGGACCAACGGGGATCGTTTTCTTCATTCTCATAACGATAGAAAGCTTCAAGCGGGAAGAATAGCTCGTGAAAATTTCAGATAGTTATCTGGAGTATTAACGGAGCTCTATAGTTTCCAATGGAACTAGACCGTGTAAGGACTTGACTCGAGGATCCTTCAAGATGCTGAACTAATCGGTGTATTTGCTTGAAATTTCGGGAGAGTATCCTTGAAACTGTTAAGCAACTTCTGGTAGATTCGTTTTTGACAATTTTAATCCCAGAAAGTGGTACTAACGCCGATATCTGTCACAGTAGAACTTCCTCAGCGGTGACTCATTCCTGAAGGAAGAACGTGTTCCGCGACAAATTCACCCTCTTGGTCCTCGCACCGAACGAGACGGTAGATCAAACCTTACCTATCCAGCAGAAAGGGTTTAGCAACGTTCGTCGAAAGCCTGATAGGACGCGGAGGCTGGCAGTGATAGGTCAACCGACCCGTAGAATTGAACCTTGATCTACGCCCCGAAGAACTGGTACACATGGCTGGCTTGGAACTGGGATATATCCATCGATTGACATGTCCAACGGTCGAGTGGATCAGTTTACCCGCGGACGATTCTCGTGGACGACATGTTCGACTAGGATTTAAACCGACTGGGATTGATCCTGCACTCTGGACACGGTTAAACTCGATCCTACCCTATCGTCTAGGTATAGCCATGCTCGCATTTGCTTTTCCAATTAATTGCCCCTCTATCCCTCTCTCTCTCTCTCTCACTCGCTATTTCTGTCTCTCTCTTTCCGTGTCTGTCTATGGCTTGTTAAAAGCACAGCATCCAATCGAGGTCCGCGTAGTGTAAAGGGAACGTGAACATAACCAATGGTGAAAAGAGGGGTTGGAGGGCAATAGATACGAGTTGGAATCTAAGAAATACGAGGCTACTTCACGGTATAATGGCCATTACCATTCGTCATTCACCAAAAGAGATTAAAGTTGGCTCCTTGGTTCAGGGGCAACCGATCGAACGATAAAGCTGCGCGATATTCGAGAGCTCGTGAATTTCTTGGCCGACGTTCGCCTGGCCTGGATACGGTCGAAATAATCGTGTTACTTCGGCCGTGATCTACCCGGAGAATTCACCTGGAAATTCTGACTATCGATTCGCGCCCGATATAATCCCTCCGCCTACGCCATACAACGTCGAACCGCCACTTTGCCTACCGCACGGGAAACCGAGAGAGGGCGAGAGAGAGAGAGAGAGAGAGATGCTGTGCGCCTGACAATTGTTAACAGAAATGTATTGAAAGGATCAGCCTTATCGAGCTGCTGATTGACGTTTTGTATCAAAGAACAGATCCATCCCCTCCATACGTACTCTTGTCTCTCGTACCTCGTGGTAGCAACGTTTCAAACAGCATATTCATCGATCTGTATTCCATTGATTAAGTGGAACAGCCCGGCTGTCGGAGTGTGTTCCTACTGACCGAATCCGAGCAGTGGGGTTTTAATCGATAGGATTATTCTCTTCCACGTTTGAACTCGCAATCTCGCCTACGATATCCGTTATACCATTCAACGAAACTCCGCGAATTTTTCCAATACGGACAATAATAATTAGAAACGCGATACGCGTTTCTGATAACGAGCTCTATTCGTACTAATTCGAAGCTCGGGGCTATTAGAAGAGTAATTTAAAGGGGAGCGTATCGTACGATCTTGGCAAAATTTCTGGTAAGCATCGGTACGATTTAAATTCCCAGGGACTTGGAGAAGTCGCTCTTTTTTTCGATAGAGAGAGAGAGAGAGATAGAGGATCGAGAATGCGTTTCTATGTTTTCCACGAGATCCCAGGGGATCCAATTTCCTTCCTGGATCCGAAAAGTTTCTTCGGATGATACGTTAAAGGGGATGAAACGCGAAAGAAAACGATACGGATAATCAGAGGGTGGAATATCTGTAGACAGGCTGAGGGCTACAAGAGTTCGAAGAGAGAGGCCTGGTCCTTGTGGTGGTCGTGTTCCACGAGGATTTAAACTAGAGACGTACCCCTTCCTATAACCATCTCTCTCTCTCTCTCTCTCTCTCTCTCTTTGCTCGTAATTCCTGATCCGGATTTGAATTCTGCCGTAGTATCTGTCGAGCTGCGCGAGGTTTCTCTGCTGAAAGACGACCACGTCTCTCCCTCTCGTCTTCCTTCTACAGTCAGCCATTTTCATTCGTACAAGACGATAAATCCTTCGATCAACCCGGCGCAAATTGAAATTCCGATATCTCGCTTGGAACAACGGCTCTAGCAAAGGGGACAATGTTTCCTTCCTACCCTGTCAATCTTCCCAAATTCCCCTAGATAGACCTGTCTCTCCCTCCTTTTCTTCTCTACTCTAATAATTCTTTCATTTTTTCTTTTTTTCTTCACCAATCAACCAGACCGAGTAAGAGAGGTGGTTGTACACCGTAGCCGATAGAAGCTCGCGATAGGTCGTGTATCGCCGGCGTGATAAGAGTAATTTATCGGTCGTGTCACGATAATCCTTTGATACACGACGTCCTCTCCTTTTTACTCTCGCGCGCGATCTCTGTCTCTCTTCAAGCGCTGGGTATCGACAAATTACGGATTCCCGGTTTCGCGAAATTCACGATTCACGAATTGGTCAACGGAGAAAGAGGGGAGAGCTGGTATCTCTCTCTTTCTCTCTCTCTCTGACCGATCGCGATTCGATTCACGTACCGTTCGAAAACAGAGATTATAACACACACATGTTATCCTATGATAACGTAACGTCACAGCCCTGTTTCTCCTCTCGTTGCAGAGATGTGAGGAATGATCACGTGGGTGATGGTCGGGCTTCTCCTGGCTGCGGAAACTTGCGGCAGAAACGTCCTCTCCGGAAACGGAAACGGAAAGGAGGAGACGAAGCAGAAGGACGGTCTGAAGGGAGTCACCACCGCCGAAGAGGAAGACATCTACCGTGGGTATCGATGCTGAAAGAGCAGAGAGAGAGAACGAAGAAGCCGGGGTAAGGGCGGAGAAGAGGGGGAGGCAAACAGATCTATGATTTGCTCGAGTAACTCGAGCTTATCCAGCCCTCTCGAATCCTGCAATCGAGCTCCACTAATCCTCCATCCTGGCTTTCTACCGCTTACAGATCTCGCTGGCCACTTTACCATCCTGCCACCTCTCCCACCCTCCCTCCTTCCATTACCACAAATCATTCTACGATCTACACACCTCGTCTGTAACATATTGTTCGGTAGTGTCCCGGAATGGTTCTTTGATTTTCGAGTCACAAATTGGGATTTTTGGGTAGATAGAGTTTGGATTTTCTTGTTTACCTTTGGAACTTTTCCAAATGGAATTCGTTAAAGTTGAGTTAGAATTTTTTTCCGCGACGAAGCAGCCACCCTTATTTTCTACCCGCCATAATACTCGCTCCGACTTTCCCAGCTTTTGACGGTGAAGAGTTCATTAAAAGGACGCAATTTTCAAACGATTCCGGAGACAAAGGAAAATTCAGAGGCTGATCCGGAAGCAATTTCTAAAAGTGCCTACAAAGACTCGGGTAGCTCTATACGCGGGCTGCTACAGGGGACAATTTTAATTCTGAATTATCTATTCAGTCGGAGGATTTTTTTCATCGAAGAACGTCTCTCAGTATTTCAGATTATGCTCTCTGAAAAGCAGCGAACTTACATGTATATTTATCGCTTCTTTCAACATTCTACCATTGGCAATTTAAGTAAAACCGCGAAGAGACAAGCGGTTGCTTCGTAATTCGTATATCGTTGCCTCGAAGAAAAGTTCGGGCCAATAGACAGTGAAACACTTCTAACCGAAGCTCTCAGCCGTTCTACCGAGTATCCGTGGTAAAAAGTATTAATTACTACGCCAGACTGAGGGAGTAGTACAGCGTGTATTTGGAGGGAAACGCTTTTGTCGGTTTGGCGATCCGTCGACGGGCGTTATGAGAGTTCCATTCGACGGGGCACAATCCATTTTCCGCGGCGTTAAGTGTACTATATACCGTACCGCGCCGTGAAGGCGGAATTCTATCGAACGAACGCCTAAGCGTGTTTAATTGTTGCAGTCTCTCCGCCCTTTGTCTCGTGCTTGAGCCCCTGTGCAACGCTATTACTCACTCCAAAACCGACCCGTTCTGTTGTTCCAGGTCTAACGTGCTACACTTGCGTCAACGTCAGCGATAACCAGGTATCGACGAGTCCATTAAACGCTCTCTCTCTCTCTTAAGTGTCTGCGTGTGTGTGTGTGTGTGTCCGGTCGGAATATCGTTTAGCCCCGAGGAGATCGTTTCTCTCCATCGATCTTTACTTATTTTCAAACTCCAACTTCCTTACTCCAATCTCGTACCTTCCCTCTCTCTCATTTTAGTTACTTCTCCGGTTGAAGTCGTCGCAAAGAAATTGCCAATATCGGTCCAGTCGACGATTCCCCGGCGAAACGGGAGAGAGAGGGACAGAGTGATTTTCGTCGCCTTGGATCAATTCTAAGCACGTCTGAATGGGAGTTCCGCTGACGGAAAATCGGTCATTTCTCGACGGTCACCGCGACTTCCGGCCAGTATCTATTTCTTCTTTTCTCTCTCTCTCTCTCTTTCTGTGTTTAAGTTCGATAGCGTAAGAGTGGCCGCAATGAACCGCTTCCTCTACGACCTTTCACCCCCGTTTTCAAAACTACTGGCAAAGTTCCAACCGATCGATGGAGTCCGGAGTGAATTATGCTTGGATGAAAGAAAACAACGATGCTCGATGTCGATTTTTGGCTAATATCGGTGTCTCTCTTTGCGTATCTGTTCACAGATGTGCAACGAATGGGCGATAGATACACCGTGTCCGGCAGGCGGCCGAGACTTCTGCAGATCGCTGCACATTTTGGACAGCCGGGGGAATAGCGTCTTGGCAAGCAAATTTCTTCTTTTTTTTTTTTCTTCGCCACACTTGACCCCTCCTTCTGTACCCTGAGAATCTCGAGACGGGGAGAGGGGCCGCGATTAACTCGACGGCTGCCAAGAAATATTCGAATTGCGGTTGGAACGTGAACTACTGTTCCAAATGGAAACGAGTTTGCATAATTGATTGCGATAGTACGTCGAAAATAGAGAAACGAAGGAACGAGGCGAATTGTTCCTTCGTTGATAATGTTACGCTGTTACAATAGACTGCTTGATTACACGTTGTATCGTTTATTAAGATTGGGCAGCGGCGGTATTCGAAGTAAGTGAATTTTGGGAATCGAATTCGGGGATTGAACATCTTGCAGGGTTTGAGGAAATTTTAAGTATTGGATTGGGAGATTTCGACAGAGGCGGAAATTTAGAGTTGTTCTTCTTGGGAAATTTATATTTTTAATGCCAATCATTTCTATCGAGCAGCTAAGATTTCTTTGAAGTATCTGATTGGGAGATTTCAATATCAAAGGAAATAATTTGCGGAAATTTAGGAATAGAAATTTAAAAGTGAAAAATTTACCTTTTTTCCCGGTAATGCCGCTAATTTCAATTGAGTATCTAAGATTTCGGTAAATTTGGAGCGTCCGATTTGGAGATTTCAATAGCAGCGAAAATCATTTCTGTAAATTTAGAATTGGAAGTTCAAAAATGATTTCCTGAAAAATTCATACTTTTTCCCAGTAATTTCCCACTAATTTCAATTAAACATCTAAAATTTCTTTGAAGTATCTCATCAAAAAATTTCAAGAGCAGCGAAAATATAGAAATGTAAATTTCAAACTGTTTTTCCCGACAAATTTCCATTTTTCCCCGGTAATGCTGGCATCGGTGCATCGAGGATGCTACGATAAAAATCATACACGTCGGACGTTTATCGGCGGACCGTTGTTACACGCACGACCGATGAAAATCAATCGGGAATTTTATCGCGTTCCCCTCTAATAGCTCGTCCCATGCATTAAATGCGTTATCGATTCCGTGTGTTTGTTAATGGACAAACTTGCGGAAGAGAGTATTCACAGCGGAAGAGTGACGGTGCAGACCTCACTTAAGAGCACCACCGACTAAGCACTTTCCGGAACTCTTTCAATTATGAACATCCGAATTAATTAGAGCCTATCCGTTCTATTCGCGAGCCGTTTTCCTCGTTGATCGGTTAATTAATGCTTAGATACGCGCTCGTGGGAAGATACGCAGATGACGCGGAATAAAACGCTCTCTGCGGGATGTGCAAATCAGCGAAAACACCGGACACGCTCCCATGAATCTTTAGAAAAAAATATTCTCCTAACTCTGTATCCCGCGTTTAACCCTTTTTACTCGACGTGTCGAGTATTAAAATTGAGTATAAAGTATCAAATTATTAAAGTCGAATCCTGTATATTCTCCACAAGTGTCAGACCGCAAGGAAGCTAAAACTGACACTCGTAGAGTCAGGGACTACGTTTTCGAGCCTCGCGCCCGCCTCTGTAGTTTGCCGAATTTGACACTCGTAGAGTCAGGGACTACGTTTTCGAGCCTCGCGCCCGCCTTTGTAGTTTGCCGAATTTAGACAAGGCCAGCGAATAAAAGATAAGCATGAAACGTGAGTCGGAGCAACCAAGCGATTTAGATATCAACTTTTTTAATTTTACGTTTTTTTATCCCGAAATTTTTCTTAACATATTGCTGAGATTTTTCTGATGAATATGACATAAAACACGACATAATTTGAACAACATTTACTTATTAACACGTTCACTGTCGCGCCAGATTTACAGGTTGCTGTCAGGCGGCCACAAGAAAATACATTTTAAGCATAGGATTATAGTATTATGCTTTATAATTTTGTTTTTCAATTGAAAATAATGTCTAGCTAGCTATGACATTCAAAATTGTTAGTTGACAACATTTATTTTATTTTAATTATTCTAAACATTTGAGGCACTCCACTCACTGATGACCACCATGGCTTTTTCGATTCTAGAATATAAGAAAATTTGAATAAAATACGCGACGAGAATTGGGGAAAAGCATAAGTTAAACGTGTAAAAATATTTAATAATAAACGAAC